GCGCTGCTTGCAAGGGTGTGCCTAGTGGCAAAGTCAACTTGCGTCTCAATAGGCTTCTCATTATCCGGCTCCCACCGTGACGGGAAAGGTGGAAAACTCTTTTATCTGCCATCTCAAATGGTTCATTAGGACATTTTTTCCATGGAGGACGGCGGTGGGTTCGTGATGTGACGCTATCACAGAGGCACACAGGGCAGGGATTTACGCGTAGCATGACAATTAGAAGACCACACAAGAGCAGTGATGGTAATGCTTCTATATTTAGAGGCCTCTCACATGTCCCTGCATTTTTCAGGGATCTGGAACGTTACCTGACACTGAAAGCCAGGTCTCTGGGTATTAGTGTTTGGGCACGTGTATGTGTGCAAGTTAATACGTCTCATGTGGTGGGGGGTAAGAGGGAGGAAAGGGATGAGGGAAAAAAGAGGAGGGGAAAGAGGATATAATCTCTCAGCTGGAGCTCATAAAGCTTTTGGGACATCCATTTAGTGTCCAAGTTTATCTGCTCCATATATTATTTATCAGCGTATCCTCTCAGTGGGATGGTAGCGCTTAGCTCAAGCACTTGTCCCTCATAAAACAGGAGCTTAGAAGGTTGAGGTGACTGCTTATTTGAGCAAAAGGGATCAAAAGGAAACAGTAATATGTATGAATTCTCAACTTTCAATCTGTAGACTCGCGTAATCCTAGAAGTCCAACACAAAGAGAACAAAATAAAGAAAAAACACTGATGTTAGCTTATGTTCATGAATAACGCATGGTCCACTGACATGACTATCCAACTAAAAGAGCTGGACACTCAGGAAAAACAAAACAAAAATCCAGGTTGTCTCTGTTTTTTATTTACAGTCCCTGTTTCCCAGCAGACATTCTGCCAGCTCTCCCAAGAAGGCCCAGAAATAACCACAGCACAGGATGGGGTGGAGGGTCTCTGGGGTAAAGGTATGTTGCGGAAAGACGCAAAGCATATCCCCTGCAAGTGCAACAGAACAGGATTTGTGGCCTGCAATCATGCCGTAAACAGCAATGAGACATCCAGCATGGTTGGAAAGGTGAAGATGGAGTGCATGTGACTTACTGTGGGCAAAAGAGTATAATCTGAAGCTGAATAGAAATCAAAATGAAAAGTGATTCAGTGCTTCTTAAATCCACACACGGGACTAAATGCTTGGCTCAAACGTCTTTGAGATGCAGATAGCGAAGAGATTGCTGGAAGAAAAATGTTCTTGTTGGACCGATTGAGAGAGCTGCGGCCTGCAGCAGCCCACGTCTGTAGGAAATGTTCCTGAGATTACAGATGCTGTGCTGATGGGTGTAAACACAGTGGCAGATGGTGAGCAACCGAGGCCTCCCAAGCAAAAGGGGTACAGTACAGGGGAAAATCTTGGCTGCCTCTCGCCACATTAAGCTCCTTTGTGGTGCACAGTCTCCATTACAGAGCTCAAACACATCCAACGGTAAAGTTGTTGTCAAAATCTCCAAGCTGATTCTTATTTAGTTTGTTTCTTTGTTTGCTATTTACATTTTTGTTGCGTCTCCAGCTGTAGAATGACAGTGTTAATTGACGGGGTGGGAGGGAGAAAGCCTAAAATGCTATTTGCGCGAGTAATCATTTATTCCTCGGTCTGATTGCTCAGAACTAGAAGGCAGCGTTCACACAGTAATGAGAGACCAAAAACTGATAAACAGCTACAAATTAACGGATGAAAAAAAAGGGTGTAACTGAGTGTGACAGCACGCCGCATGACAAGAAGGGAATACTAGCTCAGAGTGGATGTAAGTCAGTCATGACTTACAGAGCTCATTACGCTGTAAAGCATGTGTCCTCAGAGGCAGCGCTGCTTTCACCATCAACATAGACATCTTTGTGTTAGAAAAAGAGCTCAAAGCTAAAAGAAGCATAGCTGAAACAGTTCCTGAATGGCGCCCTGGTTAGTATTGACTTGCGTTTAACAGGCTGAGTTTTCATCTAGGAGACGCAAATTGGATGTAAGTGAGACCTGGTCGAGAATTTTCTTTTGCTCTCCTGTGAATGGCTGCATGTGCCTCCTTTGTGATTTAGTTTGTTTGTTTGGTTTCTTTTCCTGGGTTTTTTGTCTCTACTCTGCCGAAACGTCACCTAGATGGAGATTAATGACTTCCTTGCTGTCCCACATCCACTCAGCCTCAGCAAGGCGCCGTAGACAGATGCCTGCTATACCATAGCAACATGCTGGTCCCACCCATCAAAGAGCAGACTGTGCTCTGGGAAACCCCCACAGGATGGACCCAACCCAAACGCACATTGTCTTTCATAACACACACACACACACACACACACCTGGGAGACAGAAAATAGACCACCTGGTTAGCAGCATTCCACAGACACCTGATCTCACTGTTTGGGGCTTAAAAAAAGAAAGAAGGTTTTTCAGTGATTTAACTCCTTCCTCTCACTTGTTATACAAAAGCAAGGATTTAGAGGCACGTTAGCATATCTGTGGAATATTTCCACAACTTAGCAGTAAATACAGGGAGCACAAAATCATGGCAGTTCCCTCTGATGAATGTGTGGACCCAATTTTACGACATTGTGCAACTACAGGAGAAGCCATGATCATTATTCTTCTGTGGCTTCGACAGCTGAATGTCTGCACAATGACTTGGTGCAAATCCATCAAAATAGTGCTGTTTTCAAAGGGTAAGAGATAACTTTGACCTACTGGTGGCCACAGGGAAGACTGCAAGAACAATGAGATTTATCCATAACAGCATATACACATTTTTCTTTTTTATTTTAGGGAGAATTCAAATTAGGGTTGTTGAGAAAGACCAAGAAGCAATGCCATCTTTAGAGCGTGACTAAAAACAACAAAGATAAAGAAAAATCATTTCTCAACATCATATCTGACACTGCTCTTGGTTAACCTCCAGTTATGAAACTGCTGTTTTTCTCTTGAAGCACAATTTGGCATTTCGCTCCGTGCCGCCCTCTCAGCCAGTCAAGCGTCTGAGGTCAAGTATGTAATTTCGGAACTCGGACGCCGTCTGCCACTTTGTTCAATCACTTGGTATTTACTGCAAGCGCCTGCAAATAAACACAGGTGCGCCACGTGTGGGTGAGTCTGCAGCCTAAATGCAATCGTTCCCTGATTGAGTGCAATTTCTGTCAACAAAAAGGCTGAGTTTCTAACTGAATGTTAGGGACAATGAAAGGACGGTGTGTCACATCCCGGGGTGTGGGAAGCAATCTGTGCTGAATGGGAGCCATTTGGCCCCTCAGCTGAGATTTTGCAAACACAGTCGCTGCTTTGTCAGTTTTTGAAGGGAAGATTTTCGCTGAACTAAAAGTGTATTTGACTCACTCGCAACACTTAGACTCAACAATGATTAGTGGGTACCGTTCACACTATTTTGGGCTTAAATTGTCTCAAAAACAACAGGAAACAGAGGGTGGCTGATAGAAAGCTGTTTCCACACCACTCTTACATGTCAAAATGTCAGTGATAGGCTGATTAGCCACCCACCTTTGTTTTTAGAATGGTGGAAAACACAGCACTCACCTCTTCCACACAATAACACAATGGACATGGTAAGTGACCATAAATGCAACCTGTCTAAACACACATTTAGCCGTGTTTACCGAGTGTCTTCATTGTTTGGAAGATGTGTAAATGCCATTTAAAAAAGTTTTATTTAGAATTATCAGGTCGAACACTACAACAAACGACAGTGAGCTCATGAGAAACGACTGATTTGTGAAACCTGTTTTATCCTCATTCCTCTGCTACAGCCACCTGGCACGTGAACAGAGTATGTTCCTTGGAAAACAGGTGACCCAGGTGAGGTTAATGCAGAAATGTAGCACATGTGTCTCATTGCAGCAATGCAAAGCTTTCACAATAAAACATAATGGATACCAGATCATTTGCAAACAGTGGCAGCCATTGTTTAGTCCCCACTGAGCTCTGCAGCTACAAATGAGGAAACTGAGGTCACATCCTTTTCCCCCCTTTTTTGTACTTCATAGGCTCATTTATACACTCCTCCTACCTGAAATTTCACCTCTTGTAAAAAAGCTTTTAAAAAAAAAAATTTTTATTAAAAGAAAATTAAGAACTTGCATGACTAAAAAACTGAAAATAATGAAAAGAAATGTTTAAATCAATGTTGCTAACCTGACCCTCTGGACAGGTTTTCATGATCTAAAACATCTCTAAAACATCCCCTCTATGCCCTTGAGATCCCTGTTGAGAGATATCTGATTAACAGTCTCTGCATATCCTCTGTGAATTCATAATTCAGGAAGAGGCCAGAACAAAATCAACCCGATGTTTAGCAGACATTCTCAAAAACATACAAAAACACAAACACGTCAGTGTAAAACAGGCCGCCGTTTTGGCTCCGGAGGAGACAAAACATAGCAAAAAAAAACCCCCAGCTTTGTTTCACAGACTGAAAACACAGTTGACTTTTATTACATTTCAACATCTGCAAAGCCAGTTTTCACAAACCCAATCCAGAGTACAGACAACCCTGTGTTTGCAACGTCAGTTATTAAAGGTCATGCAATAACTGAAGCACACACCTCAGGAAATTCCCTACCTGACACCCGTTCAGATGAATATAAATCAACACCGGTGCATGGCTGCATATGCGGAAGCTACAACAGAAACTGAGCCAACACTAACATATTCAGGATTAAACTGTTTTAGAGCTTACTTTGAGCTTAAAACTAATTGGATGAGGTTATTCATTCCCCATACTGCAGACATATGCTTTCAAATAATCCTAAATAATCCTTTGGATTAAAGAACTGTGCTCTTGCTCTCTCTCTCTCTGTGTCTGTCTCTCTCCAGTGGATGTAGAGATACAGTCATCTCCACCCAGCTGTAAAACCCAAACTATGATGACCTACATTATTCTACAGTGGGCTCCAGAGACCCCGAGCAGGCATCTCTGCGCCTCCAGTCTGCGCCAGCTTCAAGGCACAGGTCTGAAAAAGGCAGACAAAAGAGTCCCAACCAAGATGCAAACAGAGGACGGCATGTTAAACACAGTGGCTGTAGATTAGCACTCTGTGTTCTTGGAGGGCCCTCCCTCTGTTGCCTCCCTTTGATATGTGGCACAACCTGCCACCTCCAGGGGCAAGGCAGACTCAAGGGGAATGTTAAACGGTCTAATCCTTTGAGATGAAACATTCGATATGAATCATTGATAAGCCCACTCAACACACGCCCCGTTTTTATGATACCTTCCAGCTAAGATAACCAGGCAGTGCAAACGTTATGCTCTCATTAAGAGCACCTCGGATAATTAAAGGTTAATTCATTGCAAGTCAGTTTTGGTGGCTACTGCTGTAATAAAAACCTGAAAATTAATATGACAATGCATGCTTGTTTCAGATTCAGTGTGGCCATGCATTCAGCCAGGTGTGTGTTGTGCCAAAAAAGGGCCTCTGATAAGCTGAACCCTGTCCAGTTATGCCCAGAGGCCTAAACACATTAATTCAATAGTTTGCTCTTTGCTGACATGTGTCTGACCTCCTCCCTTCTGCAAGAATGAGGGCCTGCAATGCCTCACGTGACAGCGGGACTGAAGCACTTTCCTGCATGAAGATTCAGATACAGGTGGATGGTGAAATGCCTTCTCTCTCCAACACCACACACAGAATCCTGTTTCTTTTTATAACTAAGCTTTTACTTCCCCTTAGATAATAACCTCTGTGCTCCAATGACAGCTGCGCGTCTTCCTCTGCTTCTACAGTTGACAGGGCGGGTTTTTTATAGAGACGCGTCGGGAGGTGTGATAGAGAAACCGCTGTTTGATTGGTCGAGTAAGTTTAACAGTCAACGAGATCAGCCAGTTAGAGCAAGTAAAGTAAAGCCGTTCATCTCGCTCGCTGCCTGACGTGCGTCACGAGATCACCCTAAAAGGGACTTTTCTTTTTTTAATGATCAGCTACACATGTGGTTTCGATATTGAGCCCCGTTAAGCCAGATCAAAATGTACTTTTCAGCTCAATCAAGCATGTAGGCCTACACTGACCGAACTCACTCACTGAAATTCCTTTTAATCACAGTTAAAAGAGGACTTTTGCGACCCCTTGGCACACTGCTGCAAAGCGCTCAACTACACGGAATCAGACATACCCATCCCCCGTTATCTTGTATCCAGCTGTTAAGAGGTCCATTTAAATACTCCGTCATCCAGTCTGCGATGTTGTCCACCTGGGATGACATCCCCTCGTTGGAAGCGCACTCCACGCACACAGTGCCCCCAAACTCGAAGAAAGCAATAATCCGGCCCCAGTTCACCCCGTCCCGGAACAGTTCGTCTATCACGTCGGCGAACCTCCTCTGCGCCGTGGCGGAGGTGAGATGCAGCTGCCGCGACATCTCCGTGAAGTCCGGCTGGTACAGTCTTTCAAGTTCATCTCCAGCCTCGCGCAGGACTCTGTGGATGCCTGCGTGTGGGTCGGACTGTGGGAGCCGTCTGCAGAGGTGGGTGTTGCTCTCGCCGTCAGGCCCGGTGCTGGCTTCTCGGCACCGGTGGACCAAAGTCGGTGGAGGGTCAGTTATCGATCCGTTATTAGCAGCATCTTCTTCTTGGACAACGCGAAATCCCCACACGTACCCCCGCTTGGAGAGTTTATGGCAGATATACTTTTCCACAATATTGCGATTATACTCGTTCGCCATTCCGGCTCAAATTTGGCACTTTGTATATCCAGTGGTTATCCTAAATAAAATGCATTTTGACCAAATGTGTGCACTGTACAATGCTCTGCACAGGCTCGTCCAAAAAGCTGGGGTTGTATTCGAATAGGTAATGCAGCGAATGATCCCACACAGAGAGGAGATACTTTACTCGTGAACTCGGGGAAAATCCCTTGAAAAAAAACTGCACAGAAACACGCACTAGAAGTCAAAACAGGCTGGTTCCGTGTCAGCAGCAGTCTTCATTTCCCGAATCCTTGGAGGGACACTGGCGACCTTCTCTTTGCATAGAAATCCAATATGCGGAAGAGGTTGGGAGTAGTGTTGTTCTATTTCTGTGCACATCACCCAGACGTGGATGTGTTGCGATTAAAAAAAAAATATGAATGAAAGCCAAAGTTGTTCACGCCTGAAGGGGTTTTAAAGGCGGCCAAGTGTTTTAGCAGCCTTACGCACAAACCAGACGCGGGACTGTGCGCCAGACAAGGTCGGACTGGAGTCCTCTTCCACGATTGCTCCACATATCCTCCGAAGCAGCTCCCTGCTCACCGCTAGTGGGCCGCACTGTTTAGTGAGGTATGCCTGACGTCAGCTGCGGAAAGTCTTTCCTTTGGCTGCTCCAAGTGCACACCAAGAACTGCGCTCAAACCATTTATAGGCCATATTATTATTACTGCATACTGCGTCCACGTTTTAAGGCAGATCACGTTACCCAGAAAATCATATAAACAAGAATATTTTTAAGATTTAGATATTTTTTTTTTATGATAGAAGACAGAAATCTTAAAAGATCACAGGGTTAGGGGCAGAGGACCACCCTGGCGAGGGATTGCTTTGATGTAGTCCAGCCACCCCCTTGTGGACACAGATTTAACCTTGCAAGTGCAAAACTGATGCACCAGTCTACATTTTCCCTGTCTTCTTTAAACTTTTCTCATCTTTTTTTAAAGCCTCTCCCCTAAATGTCATCTACTTATTCTCCAACAGGTCTAACGAAGCATCTAAAGTCCTGCACTCTGCAAACCCGAGAGCTGCTGCTGCTTTGGGAAGTTCCCTTATGAAAAAATTAAATGTCATCCTCTATCAAACAGAATACTTAACGTCCTCAGTCCTACACAAACCCTGCACTGTCAAAACTTCTGAACCACGATCATGCTGAGATTAATTTAACCCCCCCTCCCCCTTAAGGCAAGTTCAGTCAAAGAGGTCTAAAGCAATTTAAAAAGAGACAACGACACCCAGGAGTAAAAGGATTTAGGTTTTCTTCACAGGTATTTATTTAGTTTATCATGTAAGAAAATAAGACAAAGAAATGTTCCACTCCTCACATTTTCTTTCAATGGCACACAAGGTGAAGGTGTTAAGCTTTTTTGGCAGAAAGAGTATAAAGCAAAGAAAACAGAAAGAAAGCGTGAAACCAAAGAGTGCAGTATGACTTTCATGTTCAAGACTTTTAAATCCATTGAGCATCCGATAATGACACCATTAAATGAGGGAAACTAGCGCGACTCTTACAGAACTTAAATCCTTACTGTATGTTTAAACATATTGTTAGCAGAGGCTTCATTTGCATAGCTTAAAGTTGTGTTAGTGAAAACAAAACTGCTTTTACATGAGCTACATGTTCTATCCATCAATGTGTTGCTACCTCAAGGTAAAAAAAAAGAAAAAAGAAAAACCTTAAAGCAATAAATGTACATTTATGGAAAGCTCTCAAGTGCGGGACAGTACGCCTTCAACCAATATCAAATGAGAACATCATCAAACATGAGTCATCCATTCTCAATTTCATGTCTTGGATTTCAGTAAGGCTTCTTTTGTCATAGAAACACTAGAAATTGACCAAACACACACATACACACAAACCCAAACCCCCCCAAACAGTTGGCATTTCACACCAAATAAGTCACAAAGAAAAGAATAATCACTCGGTAAACCAGTAAACCAATCATCCACTAACGTATGAAGTCACATTGTTCTGCGGACGGGTCCACTCTCTCATAGCGTTCGCTTCATCAGTAGTCACGTCTTAAGGCTGTAGAATGGGCCACATGCTGCTCTCCAGCTTTTATAAACTAACACTAAGATCAAAAGAGCAGCAACATCAAAATAAACCACAAATAAATGTGCTGCGATCTCAAGAAATTGTCTTAACACATTTTGGCATTCAAATATTGGTGTATTTAAAAAATAATGTTCCTATGTTCTGATTTGTATCGCTTTGTTATAAAGTACATTCTCTCCGACTGGACCAAAGGAAGACTTGCGAGAGTCAACATTGTATTTTCTTCTTCCTTTTGCATTCAAAACAATAAGAAAGTCAGATGGTAACTAAGACTTGACAGAAATCAGAAGGGAATCTATATTTTGTAATCTAGAGAGTTTTGAAGTCCCAGCAGTGCACGACAGCGTCAATGCATGTAAAAAACAACAACAACAACAACAACAAAAAAAGAGCATCGTAGAGATGAGGACTAACACTTCCACTCTTACTCCTCCAAAAGTTTGGCCATTATATAAGATGTCTCACCAGCGCCCTCACTAGATGTACAGAGACACGACTCGAACCAGCGAGTCCCGCCCATCTCTGAGTTACACCAACCTGACAGATTATGCATCTTCACTGGGGGTGGCTGAGAATGTGCACTGACACAAAAAACTGCAAGTAAAAAATGATACGCTTCATGCTTCCTTTAGCAACTTATTAGTGTTTTTTTTTTTTAATTAAACTGACAAGTGCACGAGTGAAACTTAAATTTATGTGCTGGTTTATTTGTTTGTGTATCCCCTCCCACTCTAATCTTACGACTTCATGGCTTCAACCCATAGTACCTGCTTTACTTTCTTCACTTAGCTGGAATGACGAGGAAAACGTTTTTGCTGTCTTTATTCCCGAGACAAAAACTTCGAATGGCTTTACTCTTTCCGGAGGTGGTCGGCTCAGTCACAGCAAACACACTTGCACATCCCACGGTTTTCAGCGACAACGCTGCACGTAAAGTTTTGGAATATTATCACTATTATTAATAATAATGATAATATGTGGAGATTATTTTATGAATTATAGATTTAAACAAAATTAAAGACAAACATAAGCTCTCTCCTGCCCTTTGATATCACGGAAGAGTACTGTCGTATAATGTATGACCTCAGTTCACGCACAAACACAAACAAAAATATCCCGCAGCATAAACAAAACACTGTGGGTCACGACCGCTTTTAAACACAGAGGTTATTCAGTCAAAAAAAGAGCGAGAGAGAGGAAAAAAAAGGGAAAGATCTTTGCCTGCAAAGACCTGAAGTATGTAAAAGGTGGGAAAGAAAGGGCTTATATAGTGAAAACTGTAAAAACTCTCTAAAAGATGGAAATCTGTGATACATGCGGCACAACATGACAAAAAAGAGAATAACAACTATTCTGTTTTCGCTATAGCCTCTGGTGGGGAAAAAAATAAAAAATTCAGGCCATATTTGGCACAACCGGTTAGACGGGCTGTTGCTTTTCTTCTCTGTGGGAACCAGAAAAAAAAAAAAAAAAAAAAAACTGAAGAAGGGAGGCCTAGATACTGGAAACCAGGATGTGGGATTTTCAGTCACCCCTCTTTCCTCTAAAGTAAGGCTGCTTCCACAAAAAGAAGCAGGTGGACACATTAAACTGAAGTCACCAGGGGAAAAAATACATCTAAATGGCTATCAAGTCTGTGGAGTACACACGTAAACATCTGCCACTTTCTTCCATTCCATCTGCTAAAGTTGACATCAGAAATGCTGACATGGCCTTTTGTTTTTTAACCCCACCCCCACCTACGGTTGTGCACTTGTACAGCTGGAGGAAGGGACTGGCTGGGAGGGCAGTGGGTAGAGGGTTGGGGGCATCGGGGTGAGGTGAAGGTAAGGCTGCTGTTACTCCCTCTTATTGGCCGCTTTTGACTGCTCCCTTTGAATCATGCAGCGGCGCACGATGCTGTCAAAGCTCCCCAGGTAAAAAAGTGCGATGGTCCGAAACAATCCCATGGTGACGATCTGTGCGGGAATTTCAAAATAAAAGGTTAGGCTTAAATTTGCAGATCTGCTGAGGAGCGCTCCCTCCTGCAATTTCATATCATGTACAGGGCTGTACCTGCTGGAGACCCTCTGTGATGGAGGTCACGGGTGACATTCCACAGGTGAGCGCTGATAACATGTAACCATCTGGACCAACAGAGCTGTTGAAGTTCCCCTGCTGTGAGATGAACGAAAAACAAGCAGATACATTTGCCAAAGGAAAAAAACATACAAAGTACAGAGCACACATCTCATTTTTAAACTGGGCGCTGAATGTGATCTGAGCTTCTTACCACTGCATCCCGGACAATGATTTTGGCCACTTGGTCTGGTTGACAAACTCCAGAGGTTTCAGAGATTAACTTGGTCTCCAGAGGCTGGGAGAGGAAAGCGGAGAAAGAGAGAGAGCATTTAAGCAGCAGTCTATAATTTGAAAATAAAGGGAAAACACCTCCAAGAAAATTTACATAAAGAAACAGGAAGTAAGAAAAGTATTTCTCTGTACTGTTGCATACCTTTGTCTTGTTCTCCTCAGCCAGTCCTGGAGTGTCAGTGTCAGGGGGGTATGCCACAGTCACGTAGATATTGTAGGGCTTTATCTGCAGAAGGAAAACAGAGCAATAACTGCCTTAGCAATTCCACTACTGAGACCATGACAACTAACTATATACGTTAACATTTCAACAGCTCTTTGACAAGCAATAAAAGTTAGCCTGAATGCTACCTATATGTAGAAAAAGTATAATCATTACAGCACTGACGGTAGTGAAATGTCCATTATCATCATCTTCGCTCAAGCTGCAGACACACTGCAAGTGTGTGAATGTGTGTGTGAATGGGTGGATGACTGGTTGTGTAAAGCGCTTTGGGGTCCTTAGGGACTAGTAAAAGCGCTATACAAATACAGGCCATTTACCATTTACCATATGCTTGTTGCATATAATGGCTGGGTGCTTGTGGACACTCCAGGCTCTGGCTGCTTAGGTGAACCTCTAATGCATTTACTCCCAGATCAAATGTCATTCTCTTTGGTAGTTGCTTCAGTTGAAGGAAATTGAGAAAAGTTTATCTTCGGTCCTGCCTACTTCTGGTCGTGGAATGTCGTTCATATTCTATGCTAAGGAATGCTAAGAATTGCTTCGAACGTGTTTGTAGGCCATTTTTGCAAAACACATACCTCCATCTGCAGCGACTCTGCAAGGCCTCGCAGGGCAAACTTAGATGGGGAGTAGGCAGTGTAACCAAACAGACCAATCTGGCCCGCCTGGGAGGAAACGAACATGATGCGGCCCATTCTTCGCTCCTTCATGGTGGTTATGACGGCTCGTGTTGGGTAAACGCTGCCCAGGTAGTTCACTTCCATCAATTTCTGGAAACGAAGGCCACATTAATACTACATTAAACTATAACCAGAGTGTCCATGGTACATTACATAATTGTAGGCAGCTTCAGTCACTTTAAAACCTGAGCAGTTCAAAGTCTCTTGATTCACAGCAGGCCAAAGGCCATAAATTTAGCCACTTCTTCAGAAATTCTGACAGTAATGCGATTTCTTACCAAGTCACAAATCAAACCTTTTCTAAC